GTAGTGTAGTGTATATTAGTGTAGTGTATAGTAGTGTATTGTAGTGTATAGTGTAGTGTATAGTAGTGTAGTGTATAGTGTAGTGTATAGTAGTGTAGTGTACAGTGTAGTGTATAGTGTAGTGTACAGTGTAGTGTATAGTAGTGTAGTGTATAGTAGTGTATAGTGTAGTGTCTAGTGTAGTATATAGTGTAGTGTATAGTGTAGTGTGTAGTGTAGTGTATAGTAGTGTAGTGTATAGTGTAGTGTATAGTGTAGTGTACAGTGTAGTGTATAGTAGTGTATAGTCTAGTGTATAGTGTAGTATATAGTGTAGTGTATAGTAGTGTATAGTGTAGTGTATAGTGTAGTGTATAGTGTAGTGTATAGTAGTGTAGTGTATAGTGTAGTGTATAGTAGTGTAGTGTATAGTGTAGTGTATTGTGGAGTGTACAGTAGTGTAGTGTATAGTGTAGTGTATAGTAGTGTAGTGTATAGTAATGTAGTATACAGTAGTGTAGTGTATAGTGTAGTGTATAGTAGTGTATTGTATAGTAGTGTAGTAGTGTATAGTGTAGTTTATAGTAGTGTATAGTAGTGTAGTGTATAGTGTAGTGTATTGTGTAGTGTATAGTAGTGAAGTGTATAGTGTAGTGTATAGTGTAGTGTATAGTAGTGTATAGTGTAGTGTATAGTAGTGTAGTGTATAGTGTAGTGTATAGTGTAGTGTGTAGTAGTGTATAGTAGTGTAGTGTATAGTGTAGTGTAGTGTGTAGTGTATAGTAGTGTAGTGTATAGTGTAGTGTATAGTGTAGTGTATAGTGTAGTGTATAGTGTAGTGTATAGTGTAGTGTGTAGTAGTGTATAGTAGTGTAGTGTAGTGTATAGTGTAGTGTATAGTGTAGTGTATAGTGTAGTGTATAGTGTAGTGTAGTAGTGTATAGAGTAGTGTGTAGTGTAGTGTAGTGTTTAGTAGTGTAGTGTATAGTGTAGTGTATAGTATTGTAGTATATAGTGTAGTGTATAGTGTAGTGTGTAGTGTATAGTGTAGTGTATAGTAGTGTATAGTGTAGTGTAGTGTATAGTGTAGTGTATAGTGTAGTGTATAGTAGTGTAGTGTACAGTGTAGTGTATAGTGTAGTGTATAGTGTAGTGTATAGTAGGGTAGTGTATAGTAGTGTAGTGTATAGTGTAGTGTATAGTAGTGTAGTGTATAGTAGTGTATTGTATAGCAGTGTATAGTGTAGTGTATAGTAGTGTATAGTAGTGTATAGTAGTGTAGTGTATAGTGTAGTGTATAATGTAGTGTATAGTAGTGTAGTGTATAGTAGTGTAGTGTACAGTAGTGTAGTATATAGTGTAGTGTATAGTAGTGTATTGTATAGTAGTGTAGTAGTGTATAGTGTAGTTTATAGTAGTGTAGTGTTTAGTAGTGTAGTGTATAGTGTAGTGTATTGTGTAGTGTATAGTAGTGAAGTGTATAGTGTAGTGTATTGTGTAGTGTATAGTAGTGAAGTGTATAGTGTAGTGTATAGTGTAGTGTATAGTAGTGTATAGTGTAGTGTATAGTGTCGTGTATAGTGTAGTGTATAGTAGTGTAGTGTATAGTGTAGTGTAGTGTGTAGTGTATAGTGTAGTGTATAGTAGTGTAGTGTATAGTAGTGTAGTGTATAGTGTAGTGTATAGTGTAGTGTAGTGTGTAGTAGTGTATAGTAGTGTAGTGTATAGTGTAGTATAGTGTGTAGTGTATAGTGTAGTGTATAGTAGTGTAGTGTATAGTGTAGTGTATAGTAGTGTAGTGTATAGTGTAGTGTATAGTGTAGTGTATAGTGTAGTGTATAGTGTAGTGTATAGTGTAGTTTATAGTGTAGTGTATAGTAGTGTAGTGTATAGTGTAGTGTACAGTAGTGTAGTGTATAGTGTAGTGTATAGTGTAGTGTATAGTAGTGTAGTGTATAGTAGTGTATAGTGTAGTGTATAGTGTAGCGTTTATTGTAGTGTATAGTAGTGTAGTGTATAGTAGTGTAGTGTATAGTGTAGTGTATAGTAATGTAGTGTATAGTAGTGTAGTGTATAGTAGTGTAGTGTATAGTAGTGTAGTGTATAGTATAGTGTATATTGTAGTTTATAGTGTAGTGCATAGTGTAGTGTATAGTGTATAGTAGTGTAGTGTATAGTGTAGTGTGTAGTAGTGTATAGTGTAGTGTATAGTAGTGTAGTGTATAGTGTAGTGTATTGTGTAGTGTATAGTGTAGAGTGTATTGTATAGTGTAGTGTATAGTGTAGTGTAGTAGTGTATAGAGTAATGTATAGTATAGTGTAGTGTATAGTAGTGTAGTGTATAGTAGTGTAGTGTATAGTAGTGTAGTGTATAGTAGTGTAGTGTATATTAGTGTAGTGTATAGTAGTGTATTGTAGTGTATAGTGTAGTGTATAGTGGTGTAGTGTATAGTGTAGTGTATAGTAGTGTAGTGTACAGTGTAGTGTATAGTGTAGTGTACAGTGTAGTGTATAGTAGTGTAGTGTATAGTAGTGTATAGTGTAGTGTCTAGTGTAGTATATAGTGTAGTGTATAGTGTAGTGTGTAGTGTAGTGTATAGTAGTGTAGTGTATAGTGTAGTGTACAGTGTAGTGTATAGTAGTGTATAGTGTAGTGTATAGTGTAGTATATAGTGTAGTGTATAGTAGTGTAGTGTATAGTGTAGTGTATAGTGTAGTGTATAGTAGTGTAGTGTATAGTGTAGTGTATAGTAGTGTAGTGTATAGTGTAGTGTATTGTGTAGTGTACAGTAGTGTAGTGTATAGTGTAGTGTATAGTAATGTAGTGTATAGTAGTGTAGTAGTGTATAGTGTAGTGTATAGTAGTGTAGTGTATATTGTAGTGTATAGTGTAGTATAGTGTATAGTAGTGTAGTGTATAGTAGTGTGGTGTATAGTGTAGTGCATAGTGTAGTGTGTAGTGTATAGTGTAGTGTATAGTGTAGTAGTGTATAATGTAGTGTATAGTAGTGTAGTGTATAGTGTAGTGTATAGTGCAGTAGTGTATAGTGTAGTGTATAGTGTAGTGTATATTATTGTAGTGTATAGTGTAGTGTATAGTAGTGCAATGTATAGTGTAGTGTATTGTGTAGTGTATAGTGTAGAGTGTAGTGTATAGTGTAGTGTGGTAGTGTATAGAGTAGTGTATCGTGTAGTGTATAGTGTAGTGTAGTAGTGTATAGTGTAGTGTATAGTAGTGTAGTCTATAGTGTAGTGTATAGTAGTGTATAGTAGTGTATAATAGTGTAGTGTATAGTAGTGTAGTGTATAGTGTATAGTAGTGTAGTGTATAGTGTATAGTAGTGTAGTGTATAGTAGTGTAGAGTAGTGTAGTGTATAGGGTAGTGTATACTGTGCTGTATGGTCTAATGTATAGTGGTGTAGTGTATAGTGTAGTGTATAGTAGTGTAGTGTATAGTGGTGTAGTGTATAGTAGTGTAGTGTATAGTGTAGTGTATAGTAGTGTAGTGTATAGCGGTGTAGTGTATAGTCGTGTAGTGTATAGTGTAGTGTATATTAGTGTAGTGTATAGTAGTGTATAGTAGTGTAGTGTATAGTAGTGTAGTGTATAGAGACTCCTATAGACTCATAGAGACTCCTATAGACCCACAGAGACTCCTATAGACCCGTAGAGACTCCTATAGACCCGTAGAGACTCCTATAGACCCACAGAGACTCCTATAGACCCATAGAGACCCATGAAGGCCCACACTATAACGAAACTACGTTTAATGTTACCATCTGCCAGCTGTAAGGCCCCAACTGAGCAACCCCTCCCCCCCGAACCTAAGGTCGCGAAGCCGACGCCATCGTCAAAGAAGAGTTCCCGCCCGGCGAGATATCGAGCGTCTTCCCTTCCCCGCTCCCCCCGGCGGCGGCCGCCGATCGCCGCCCCTTCAAGCACGAGTTCCCGCCCGGCGAGCCATCGAGCGTCTTCCCTTCCCCGCTCCCCCCGGCGGCGGCCGAGGTCGAGGTGGTCCTGGAGGAGGCCGACCGCGGCGGAGGCCGGCAGGCGGCCGGGGGCGGCCGCCGGAAGGCCCCGAGGGCCAAGGGCTACCCCTGCCCCGAGTGCGTCGGCGCCTTCACGTGCCCCTCGGCGCTGAGGACCCACGCCCTCACCCACACGGGCGAGAGGCCGCACGCCTGCGGCGCGTGCGGCGCCGGATTCGCCCGCCCCTCGGCCCTCAAGAGGCACATGATGTCGAGGCACGGCACGGCCCCGGCCAGGCCTCCGAGGCCTCGCCCGGGGGCCCTCGAGAGCGGCCGCTTGCCGGCGGCGGCGGCGGAGCGCGGCGAGGACGACGAGGAGGACGATGGGGACGAGGAGGACGAGGAGGAGGACGAGGAGGACGAGGAGGATGAGGAGGAGGAGGAGCGTCCGTCCGTGGAGTGCCCTGCCTGCGGCAAGGCCTTCCGCCAGCCGTCGGCGCTGAGCGTCCACCTCAGGACGCACTCGGGCGAGGAGGGCCGGGCCCACCGCTGCGTGGCGTGCAGCCGGGACTTTGTGAGCGTGTCGGCGTTCAAGGACCACGCCCTGACCCACGGCGGCCGCCGGCTGCACCGGTGCCCGCTGTGCTCCAAGAACTTTGCCAGGCCGTCGGCGTGCGCCCGCCACCTGGCCACGCACGACGCCGGGAGGCCGCACAAGTGCTTCGTGTGCGGCGGGAATTTCGCCGACCCGTCGAACCTCGACCTGCACGTGAGGTGCCTCCGGCACTACAGGTCCTAGGCCTGGATGTTGAGGCGCCTGAGGCACTACAAGTCCTAGGCCTGGACATTGAGGCGCCTGAGGCACTACAGGTCGTAGGCCTGGACATTGAGGTGCCTGAGGCACTACAGGTCGTAGGCCTGGACATTGAGGCGCCTGAGGCACTACAAGTCCTAGGCCTGGACATTGAGGTGCCTGAGACACTACAATTCACACAACCTCACACACACACACAACAACAACAACCGCCATTCGCCACTAAGCGGCGGTGATGTCACCACGACGCTTGTGCCAGGCCATCTGCACATTGAGGCTACCACGTGAAGTGTCGAACGCCCGCTGGCAGGAGGTCACGGGGCAGACCCAGCAGGTGCCACGGGTCGACTGACTGAGATGACTGGCTGATGCACCACCTGTGCCTCCTACTGTGCCAACCTGCTGTGCTTTAGCCACCCGGCGCTCCGCTCGTTGTTGTGAGCGTCGCTCCTCCGCCCTCCGTTGTTGTTGGAGGGCGACTACCTCCAACTGCCCAGTAGCGTCCTTCACGAGCCTCCTCCACAGAGGCCGATCTTGACACCGCTGGTACCGGTCATCGGCAAGTCTGCTCAGCTCTACGTCCTCCTGTACCACATCACTCCATCTCTACTCTAGCCCGTGCCGCGCCCGTTTAGCCCCCTCGATCCAGCTGAACAACAGCTATAAGAATAGGTTTTACCCTTTCTGGAAATTTAAACAGTTGTGTTAAGATGTTAAAACACCGAACTGAAACTTTTTGCAAGGAATCTTGCCTGCATCAACCACATATTTGTGGTGAACATACGAACAAAGCAACACGCTCTGGTAGTACATGATGATGATGATGATGATGCATCGTCTTCGAAACTGATTGGTCCACACCAGAGACGGCTTTCTTTAGAGCCTCGTCTCACTAACGGCGCTAGACCAGAGGACGCCAAAAGGCGAGCAGCACAAAGACGAAGCTTTCGTGACTGCAGGGATTCATGAGGCTATCCACACAAACAAACACAGAGACAATTTCAACCGAGAAGATGGATTCTGGCTTAGCAATCATTGGAAGGATTTGATAAACTAATTTCGGGTCTCGATTTAAAGCTTTCGTGACTGCAAGTATTCATCTTCTTTGGTTCTTTTGGTAAAGTCACGTAGAATGAGAATAAAATAATAAATTGATAGAATAAAATAACACAATAATATTCTCACGACATTTCGGCCACAACACAAGCGGCCTTCATCAGGTGAAGGGACGAGACTATCTGGTAGGACAGCGCTGGAGTGAAAAAGCCACGCTCAGATCACGACCTTTAAGCTGTGTGAGAAGAAACAAAGTGCATTGACAAAGCAATTAGCATAGAATTTAGCATTGAAATGGCTGAGTGATTAGCTTGTGACTGGTCACGGAAATGGCTATGTTAAAGTTAAAGCATACACATCCGCAGAGGCACCCCTTGACAAAGGAATTAGCATAGAATTTAGCATTGAAATAGCTAAGTTAAAGCATACACATCCGCAGAGGCACCCCTTGACAAAGGAATTAGCATAGAATTTAGCATTGAAATAACTGAGTGATTAGCTTGTAACTGGTCACAGAAATAGCTATGTTAAAGTCAGAGCATACATATTCACCGAGGCACCTAGTACAAATCAAACAGGAGAATTTAGCATTGAAATAACTAGGCGAATTTAGCATTGAAATAACTGAGTGATTAGCTAGTGACTGGTCACAGAAATGGCTATGTTGAAGTCAAGGCCTACACATCTGAGCTATTCACAGTAACTGGGTATACAATACAATGTATAATGAATACTATATAGTGAACCAATAAAAAACTAAAATATAAATTACCTTAATGTTATCAATAAACTCTATATTCTCCAATCAGCTAAGCTACCAAAAATAAGTCGTTATATATCACAATGCTATATGGCGAAAAAATGGGTGGATTCTTACCCTCAACTTTAGCAACATGGATAGCTACGGGCCCCTTTCAGACGGACGAGTTCATCCATGGTCGGAAGGGAGACGTGACTTTACCGAAAGAACCAAAGAAGATAATTTCGGGTCTTAATTGATTGTTCATGCTTACGGTGGCTTTCAGACCGCATCCATTATTTTCGTCTCCCCCCTCCTCTTTTCCGAACATAGATGGACTCGTCCATCTGAATAAAACTGTCAAATCGCTCTCCGTGGTGCTAACGTAAAAAAACGCCACTTTTTTCAAATTTTCTTGCTGTGGTTTTCACCACCTGATGATGATTGCTTGTGTTGCAGTCGAAACGTCGTGATAATTTTGTTTTATATTTTTATTATTTTATTGTTTCCCTTGTACGTGGTGGTGACTTTACCGGAAGAACCAAGAATAATAATTGTATTGTTTTACAAAATTTTTATTGTTTTATATTTTTATTATTTTATTGTTTCCCTTCTACGTGGTGGTGACTTTACCGAAAGAACCAAGAATATAGCACAAAGACAACGCCGCTATCAGCACATTGAGAGCTCGGGGTGATTGGCAGGCCCAGGCCCATGCCCTCCAATCACTCCAGACCAGGTGCCAGCATCATGACCAACTCGGGCATTGAAGTCACCCAACAAGATGACTCTATCCCGAGGGGCCATTTTTAGCCAGCACCTGTAACAGGAGGTCATAGAAGGCATTTGACTCAATGGCCATGCCTGCATCCCTCCACGGATGTTCGTCTTCAGTGGGGGCATAAGTAACCACGACCACCACTCCTCGCCTCTGGTTGATGGG